AACAATGTAAAAATAAAGATTGCCAATGGGGAGTACATAAATTTAGGTATACTGCTTAATAATGTCCCAGAAACTGACCCCAATGATGACACCAAATATTTTTCTCTAAAAGACGGGAAACTTGCAGTCACGAATAAGCCTAAAGCAAAACCCATTACGGACATACAAGTATGGACTGACGCTTTCCTTATCCAACGATTTATGCATCCGCTCATCCCCATGCAGCAGTATCTTTGTTAAAATATATGCACACAATACGGTTAGGCGCCAGTCGTATTATCGGGTTGGGCTGGCGGGACTATGACATCCAGTTCCGACTTAAAAAAGAGCGTAATCCTGTATTATCATTTGCAGTAGTTGACCATGACTTGTGGTTGCTCTATATGTACAACAGACCTATGACGGTGCAGACTGTGCAGGGATCAGAACCCAATCCCCCTTCACTCAAGTGTTATGATTTTAATTATAAAGGCGCATGTCCAAGACAACAATGTCAGTACAGTCACACTTGTATCCTTTGCTCACAGCCACACCCACACACTAAGCACAAAAATATAACTCCCTCTCCATCAAATCTTGTGTCGGCAAACACTCAGTCAGCAAGGTGCTCCTTGCCCTCAGAAACTCATGCAGCCCCAAATACCTATAACAGACCCGCATCGAGTTCAACCCAGTCTTTTAGACATCAATAGTATAGCCCCCCCCCCTTAAAATTGCAAGCCTTGCAAAATGCTCAACAAATTATCCTCTCGACACATTTTGCACCTGAATTACTTGTAAGGTTTTAATTTTGGTTTTTAAGCTCTATTACAACTTACAAGGGCCCTAGACAGTAGACAAGCATATATACGATTGTGAGAATCCTGAGTCTTTAAGGTATATTTTATTGATGAAGCCATTCAGCAAGTTACATGTAATAAAGAAATAATGTAATATTCCGGAAATTTATATTGTTATACATGTAATATAGATTCAGTTATTAGGTTGCGGGTGTAAACTTCCGCCTTAAAAAGTATATAAAGACTGAATCCGCAGTATCAAGCGTTCATTCCAGCGCAAGCTGTGGTAAGAGTAAGACGTGTGCGAACCATAACAGCAGTAAGTGAGACTTAACAAAATAAAGTCAGCTTACAGAAGAAGTCCACCTTATAAAATAAATAAGGTGTAGTCTACACGAATTGTGAATTAATAAAGGCTGTTATGTTATTGAGTGGCAAGCCACTCAGAGGCTAACCAGCAACGGAGGTTAGCCACCTCAACTGTAATTCGTCTTAAGATTGTTGAACCGTATGGCAACCAGGCTGTTGTGTGCAGTGTGTCTGCCTGAATAAGGCTAGCAGCGTGCACAGCAGTTGAAGGGCTGTCACTTGTACTGACTGTGTCCTGAATAAGGCTGCAGTACAAGCGTCAGTCCGAGGTTGGCCAGTGTAAGGGATAGCCTACCCACTGCCATTTTCTTAATCATTTGTAATTATTTGGTTCACCTTTGAATATTGTCGTCGTGATTATTAACCTAGATAACGTTGGCCATTTATTTGTATATTTTGCAGGCCTTTGTAATCAATCATTTGTCAATCATTTATTAAGGAAATTATATTATATTGGAAATCATCCCCCAAAATCTTGAATCGACAAGGTACGATCCCCGACTGCTATTATTATTCCGCTCGACACGTTACAAAATTTGATGGCAGCGTCGGGATTTGGGGTACTTGATTTTTCTTTATACTTTGTTTGTTAACCGTTTCATACCTACCAATAATCGTATTTGTCAGTATGAGTAGCATGGATGACCTTACTAAAATCGAAAGAGAGCTAACTAGGCTTCAGGCTAGTTTCGATGAAGATAAAAGAAAGACCGCTAAAGATTCAGGTCTACCTGAAAGCAGGCGGACAACCTAAGAAGATGAATATTATGAGGCAATGGGTGCGAAACCTAAATTAGTTAGGACGACCACTCTACCTACTGATGTATCAGAAAGAAGAGAGCCTGAGAGCCGCATTAGCTTAGGTAGGTCAGATGACAAGCCTCCAGATAGGTTTTCCTTGACAAGTACGCCTTTTGTAAGAAATAGGCAGGATGACCCTCTGTTTACAAATGTTACAACACGCAGACCTGATGTAAGGGCAAATGTTGATCAACATAAGGGTAACCATGTAAAGCCAGATAAGTTTGATGGTACTACCTCATGGCTAGACTTCAAATCTCATTTTGATGTATGTGCTGAGTTGAATGGTTGGACAACCTCTGAGAAAGGCATGCACTTAGCTGTTTCCCTACGAGGTCGGGCACAGGCGGTGCTGGGCAGTCTTCCAAAAGGAGAAAAATGTAACTACAGGTTATTATCCAGGTCATTGGAAGAGCGATTTCTGCCACCTAACCAAACAGAGCTGTATAGGGCACAATTACGAGAAAGGAGACAGCGGGCTTCTGAAACATTGCCAGAGCTTGGGCAGGATGTACGCAGGCTGGCCAACCTCGCGTATCCTACTGCCCCTATAGATGTCAGAGAAACCCTTGCGAAAGAGCAATTTATTGATGCATTGAAGGACAGCAACATGAGGTTCCGCATCAAACAAACCAGGCCTGTTGACCTGAATGATGCGATACGTCATGCTGTGGAGTTAGATGCATTTAATTCTGCTGAAAGACGTCTCCAGGAAGATAAAGGTTATTTGAGAGAGGCCAACCAGCCATTGGAATCAGACAAAGACACCATAACCACGCTGTTGAAGGTAGTGCGTGACATGCAGAAGGAAATGAAATCAATCAAAATGGCAGTACAGAACTCAAAATCTACTAAGCAATCAATGTGGGACTCCTGAAGACCCAGGTCCTATAATTGATGAAGTTGGTTTAAGTGTCAATGAAGAATTATTAGTGTCTCATTGCCCTAGGAGAGATCGCAAACCTCCTAGTTGGTTGCATTATTATGAGACAGATTTGTAATAGCCATGTTGTATAAATTTCACAATTGTATAAGAAGTTAGAAGTCACTTCAATGAAAATAATACTTAACACAGATAGTGTTCTTCAGTGGTTGTTACTTTTATTGCTGTTCTTGTTTTGTTGACCATTTGGTCAGTCATTTAAATACAGTTTGTCGTTAGAAAAGAAAAACCCAAAAGATAAATTAATAACTATAAAAAAAAAAGTTGATCTATTGATTTTGCATGCGGGACGCATGTCATCGGAGGCGTGGGTAGTGTAATATTCCGGAAATTTATATTGTTATACATGTAATATAGATTCAGTTATTAGGTTGCGGGTGTAAACTTCCGCCTTAAAAAGTATATAAAGACTGAATCTGCAGTATCAAGCGTTCATTCCAGCGCAAGCTGTGGTAAGAGTAAGACGTGTGCGAACCATAACAGCAGTAAGTGAGACTTAACAAAATAAAGTCAGCTTACAGAAGAAGTCCACCTTATAAAATAAATAAGGTGTAGTCTACACGAATTGTGAATTAATAAAGGCTGTTATGTTATTGAGTGGCAAGCCACTCAGAGGCTAACCAGCAACGGAGGTTAGCCACCTCAACTGTAATTCGTCTTAAGATTGTTGAACCGTATGACAACCAGGCTGTTGTGTACAGTGTGTCTGCCTGAATAAGGCTAGCAGTGTGCACAGCAGTTGAAGGGCTGTCACTTGTACTGACTGTGTCCTGAATAAGGCTGCAGTACAAGCGTCAGTCCGAGGTTGGCCAGTGTAAGGGATAGCCTACCCACTGCCATTTTCTTAATCATTTGTAATTATTTGGTTCACCTTTGAATATTGTCGTCGTGATTATTAACCTAGATAACGTTGGCCATTTATTTGTATATTTTGCAGGCCTTTGTAATCAATCATTTGTCAATCATTTATTAAGGAAATTATATTATATTGGAAATCATCCCCCAAAATCTTGAATCGACAAGGTACGATCCCCGACTGCTATTATTATTCCGCTCGACACGTTACAATAACCCTGGGAAGAGAGGCTGTCCCTATTTGACAACCCCTCCCCCATTGCTTAACCTAAAATTTGTCCCCTCACATACCTGTTTCTGGAAGGGGTAAGTTTGTAGATTTAAGGTCCCTCTCTACATAGGTGCAAACATTTTTTTTTTTGACATTGAGAAACTCTCTACATAGATGCAAACATTTTTTAGGAAATTTATATTGTGTAAAGGAGTTAATATTGAGCGTATTTATTTACTTTTTAATGTATGGTGCATTGCATTTGCCGCCGGGGAAAATGTTCAAAGACAAAACAGTATCAGTGAATAGAAATTACCGTTAATTACTTCAATAGAAAATAAACTTGTAAATAACACGTTTAATTAATTTATTGTGGTCCTTTTAAATGTTAAGAATACTTGATTTGATTAAAAATTGAGTAATATTTTGTAAAGTTTTATTTTTTAGAATTTAGATATAAGAGTAGATTACTCAAATTTTTGCGGAAACTGGTCAAGTGACTATTATAGTATGTTCTCAATTCTTACCTCGGCGACATGGGGGGGGGGCATTAATCAGCAAGGTGTGATGCAGTTAAAGGTTACAGCAAGGGTTCCAAGTTTTCATTTCATACCTGGAATTTAAAGTTTTACCAGCACAGGGAGAGTTTGGGCCATGGCTGCGCTATGACTAGTTATGGGGTCATAGTGCTAGTCATTTACTTACATGTAATTTGGCGCCTTGCATTTGCTTGTGACTAGTCCTTGAGTTGGCGATATATTTTCGCTTACTCAGTATTTGGGCAGTGATTTTGCCGCTCTACATTGCATTGCTGACAACAACTTTTATTACTTGGGCAATACATTGCCCCCAAGTTATTTGCATATTAATGGTATTTTAGGACCAGTTTTGAATTTATTTTAGACATATCGCAGTTCAAGTAAGTTTTTCTTGGGGAGGGGGTGGTTTACTTAAGTTCTGTCACGATTTCCCTACTGGTGGCGCAGACCATGTTTGACATGGTCTCGTGGCGGCTATTAGGCTCACCAGTCATCCTCACAACGTCAGGGGTCCTGAGTCAACACGTTGCCGTTGGACCCCTGACTTATTTCATTCGAAATCTGTGGGCTTGCTTCTCTCATTGAGAAGCACCAATCAAATTGCCGCTTACATAAGACGTAAACAAATATGGCGCACAAGCATGGATGATTGTATTTTGTGTTTGGAAAAATTACCGAAAAAGAACAGAAGAAATATTTACAGTGACACGTTTTTTGTGAAGAAACAGTTAAATGAGGTATTGGGTTTTGTCCCCGAACAGCGAACGCATTCATCGCCCCAATACACTTGCTACAGGTGTTTTAACAAACTGAATAAGCTATGCAAGATTGAATATGAATTAGAAAGCAAATTATCAGCACTTAAAAGAGAAAAATGTGACATTATCAATGAACTTAGACCAAGTCGGAATGTTTTATTGTCTCCAGCAAAGAAAGTCCCCTCGGTCAATTTTGGCGGTGCCTCTAGTTCCATCCAAACTCCAAGGAAGTTAACAAAACGTGTCATCTTAAGGACTCCAACACCACGAAAAAATAAGAAAGTCTTTCGAGATGCACAGCAAAATATTAAAAAAAACAGTAAGGAAAAGACTAGCAGACGATCAGCTGACACCAAGCAAAGTAAAGGTACATATTCTATTTTTGTACAAATAGGAAATAAAAATATTCCCCTTCAATGTAAACATTTTTAAATTTTTCAATTGATGATTTGGTCTTATTAATAAAGAATAAAATATTCCCAAGAAACATATGTATATACAGTTTTAAGGCAAATTTATCACACAATGTGCATCTTGATATTGTACATATATCTTTTTAATTTTTGTAACTTGTGGCAGACAGGTTCCATGGCCATTGGCCAGATAGCTCGGTAGAGCATCTGACTGGAGATTCAGGGTTCAAATCCTGGTCTGATCTGTCACATTTTTCTCCTCTTACACATGTTTAGATTAGCAGTAAGATTTAACGTAAACATGGTAAACGAAAAAATTGCAACAGTTAATTTTATTATTTTTTGTAGGTGCATTTTAGAGGAAAAAATGATTCAAAAGTAAGGACACGCTTTATTAAAGACAGTCCTTGGGTGGCAGTATTAAAATCCCTGGTAAGAGGCAATAAAGCAGAGATCATCTCCAAAAAAATTTACAAAATAGAGGTTCTTAAGACAGAAATGATTAAGTTGATGCTGTCTGAACTGAACACTCAATGCCAAGATTTATGAAAAATATCACACCCCTCAGTTTTGCGTAGTAACGATGAAGTTCACTTTAAGTTTAAGAGTGTATGTGAAGAGCTGAAAGAGAAAGCACCAATGTTGTATGATGTACTTCAAACAGTTACCAAGAAGAAAAATGATTGCCGATTATCTGTTGCTGCATCAGTTTTGCTTTGGAACAGAAATAAGCACATGTCACAACTACATCACATCATTGGGCAGATTCTAGATCATGGAGGTGCAATAGATGAGGTATTTTTTTTACCCGATTAAAAATACATTAAAACAGTCATGCAATTTAGAGAAATACTACACCAAGCATCTATATGTAATGAAAGTTGATTTAAAAAAAAATGATATTTCAAGTGAATTGAATATGAAATTTTCCCTTGAAAGTAAGTCTCTCTCTAATTTCAGACTATTCAAACTCTTTCGGAAATGGGATTGTCCATTGGGCCACAGTCAGTCTCAATTAAGAGAGGAAAACTTGTCCTAATATATAAAGAGAAGCTAAATGATATTTTCCAGAAACAGATTGATCAGACTGTTTTGAAGCATTGCATATCATTAAGCAAGAGTGCAGAAAAATCCATTATGGAGTATGAACCAGAGCCGGCAGAAAAAACAGAATCAGGTACATCTGATATTCAGTATTTTGATTTGGTCAATTCCTTTAAGACATCCCAAACAAATCAGTCCTTTACGAGCTCATCTGAACATTCTTGCTTGACAATATCAAGCAATGATTATGAGATGAGAAATAAAATGTTTATCGATGTCTACAGCCAAAACACTTTACCCGAGTCAGCGCAGGTACATGTATTACGTAATCCAACCACAGAGGTGAAATCACTGAATTTGAACACCAAACCTGGCAGTATAGAGTTTCCAAGTTTACCATCAAGACCACTGAAGCATTTTCAGTTAGAAGAACCGGTCAATGTAATTGCCAAGCATGATAGAAGTAGCATGATTTTGAAAGACTTTATAACAAGAAATGCTGATCAGATGTCACCCACTATACCAAGGTTTGAAATCATTGGAGACAACTTAGACCACACTATATCACCAACAAACATGACTAAAGATAAACAGAGGAAAAGCCTCCATTGGTTTCTTAATGTGGCAGTTCAAAGAAGAGTGTTGGCAGATGATTTACCTAGTGATAAGCCTAAAGCAGATATTTTGAAGGTACCAAATAGTGAGTATTTACCTAGCAGGGAAGACTGTGAAAGTTTCCACATCAATTTGATCTATCATATTGCATTAGTTGTTACTAAGAACATTGACTGTCTGCAGCCATTTGCACAATGTGTCCCCAAATATATTGACCATCCGTATTTGAAAGAGCTGTCTGAAAAATCAGTGTATAACATTGTAGACCTACTCGATAAAAGTAAAAATAAGTCTGATGACATGATTACAATTCTTGAACATGTGCATAAACATTATGTCCCACATTCTGGTGAAGATATTGTAGAGAAAATTGTATTTGGTGGGGATGTCCTCACCAATGAACGGGCATACTCTAGCCAGCTGGCTATGATAAACAATGAAAGTGATTTTAGTCGCCTTACAGGAATTGTTCATAGGCCAGAGGGTCTCCATCGGATCATGAATTTACTCTTGGTATCCAGTAAAACAATTATTCCCTGTTCAAGATGTAATTGATGTTTGCATTTTCTATATTGAATTTCATATTGGATGCTTTATTTTAGTAAGTTTTAGTAGTTTTGTTACTGCAATGTTTTTCAGACATTGGTGAAGGTCCTTTTATTCTTTCATTCTCCCCCCCCCCCTTTTTCCATTTTCATATGAAATGTTGATTATATTTCTATAAATTTAATCATGCATTTGATTACATTTTTACTAATTAAGCATGCAGTTGATTGTATTTTTACTAATTTTATTATGCAGTTATTTGTCTTTTAATTTGTATTTCACAACTATTAATAAATACCAAATCACAGTAAAAGCCAAAATTAAAAAAAAATGAATTTAATAATATAAGCCAGAGTTTAATTTAATAGTAATTTAAATTTAAATTTTGTTATTTACATTTTTGACATTATTTGCAAATTGATATATTAGTATTTAACATAATTAACAAATGTTAAGGATCTCTAAAATTCTATATTCAGACCATTTATCAGCAATTCTAAAAGCCTTCATCAGCTGCAGATCAAGGGACTTTGTTTCAATTGCGCAATGTCCTGCAGAGACGAGACGTTAGTGGGCCAGATGGTGTCACTGAGAATTTTAGGTAAATCTCTTTTATATTATAGTAAGTAGTTTATTGGGAGTTCTGGGAGAGTAGTATATGCTTAACAACTGTAGGTCAGTGGTCTGAAAAAATTGGATGGATCATCAGAGGTCTATTAAAATATTTCTACACTTTAATACACAGATCTGTAAACAGAGTAACCTACATGTTCTATATGAATTAAATATAGCTCAAAGATGATTACTAAAATGATACTCAGAATCACATTTTTACTCCAACAGGTCTCACATGACATTCATCGGGGACTGTTTAGATGCCTTTCTCCTCACAGCCTGTATGGAGGTGTTGGACATCAAGAGCCTTGATGAAAAACCTAAAAGGACCATTCTTTCAGAATTATTACATCTTCAAAGTAAAGAAGACCAGTATGATTGGATAAAAGAGCTTTGTTTCCAGATCTTGGACACTTTTGTCTACATTGAAGAAGGTATTTAGAAGATGACTGATTTGGGTTCACATTCTATCTGCAACCGTCTATCTGTAAATGTAATATGACTTTTACATCTGCATCATATAATACCTACATGTAATTGTCAGATTAAAGCCATAATTCATAATTCAGATTATACTTATCCACAACGAATTGTTGGATACTTTTGTCATGTTCAGGAGGAGGGGTCAGGATCCTAATATATTTGGCTCAGTCAAATGTGTTGTGCTGTAATAGTAATTTTTGTTCTGTTTGGCAAGGTGAGATATTATGTATGTGACCTAAAACACAGTAAAAATTTAATTTGCAGATAGTTTGCCAACTGTCACAGCACAAGCTGCAGAAATGGACAACAAGGAGCTTTTGATGAGTGAAATGTATCAAGATGAATCAAAGCAGTATGTTTGCACCTGTAACCGAAAGTACAAGACAAAAGGTCACTTCAAGAGACATCTGCAAAATGAACACAACTGGGTGTTTCATACAACAGAAGAGGAAACTCCCGAATCAGCAACATCAAAGCAAGACCACATAGCTCTGTGGCGTTCATCATTTATGAAACTTGCATTATTACTTAGGGACACAGAGGATGCTTTCAAATTTGGTGATGGAACACGTATATTTAGAAATGCAAAGTTTGAAATGATGTGTGCTGATATTGCTAACCATTCCAAATATAAACTGTGGCTTTGGAGACTCTTAGCCTACGAGTGTTCTCTCCTATCACCACGTGAGGCATTTGAGTACAAGTGGAATTGTTCCTCAAATATTCATGGAGGGACTGGGAAAAATATCCCTAATGACAATCTCGTTGAATTATGCGTACATGTTATAAAGAAGAAAATGAGACAGCAGGGTGCAAATCTAACTTATGAAAGTGCTAAGAAGATTGCCTCGTGTGTGCAAATGCAGGAAGAAATAAAGTCCAGTGTTCAGAAACAGCTTGGCATGAAAACCTCAGGTCAATCCAAACCTACTGTGGATAAGAAAAAAGATCTTCAACTGATCATTATGGAACTTAAAGCCAATGACATTTTCAGTTACATTTCTGGGAGGGAATTCAGTGCTTTTAAAAGTTTTCAGGACATTTTTTCGCGTGTTAATGTGGTTCAACTTCACAAATGGATAACAAAACAAAAAGAAAGAGCAAGTTATGAACAGTATCAGTTTGATGTGTTTTTGTGTGATTTGTCATGTTCATAATTAAAATATCAATTAAACTTCATTCTTTTTTTTTCATCAATTAACATGATTAAGGTGGGAAGGAAGGAGAAAAAATATGTTTACTGTTAATTGGAAAGAAAACAGAGAGATAGGATTCTACGAATTACTGTTTAAAGAAAATTGACAAAAATACACATATAAATCAACGGTCAAATATACTGATCATTTTTAATTTATATATACATGTATTTGAAAGCTATTTCATTGCCATGTTTTAATATTTTTGCTTGCCATAGTAGTACACACGAAGTTTGGGGGGGTATATAGGAATCACCTTGTCTGTCTGTCTGTCTGTCTGTCTTTGCAATCGTGTCTGGTCCATATCTTTCTTACAGAGGGACATTAGAATCTACTACTCCATACTAAGATTGCTCATGACCTAAGGGTGTGCCATGACCTTGACCCAAGGTCATTTGGAGAAGTTCAAGGTCACTGGAAGAAAAATATCATAATTCGTGTCCGGTCCATATCTTTCTTATGGATAAACTTGGTAGGTTCTCATTTCACATAAAGATTGCCCATGACCCAAGGGTGTGTCATGACCTTGACCCAAGGTCACTTGGAGAAGTTCAAGGTCACTGGTAGAAAAATTTCATAATTCGTGTCCGGTCCATATCTTTCTTATGGATAAACTTGGTAGGTTCTCCTTTCACTGAAAGATTGCCCCAAGGGTGTGTCATGACCTTGACTCAAGGTTATTTAGGGAAGTTCAAGGTCACTGGAATAAAAATTTCATAATTCGTGTTTGATACATATCTTTATTTTGGAAAAACTTACTTCTGAAAAACCCAGCGGGGGGTATTTTGTCCCGTTTCGACAGTTCTAGTTAGTATTAAAGTTTTATTGACATAAAAAGTATAGAAGTATTTTCTTTAAAAATAAAGTTTGTTCCTAAAGTATGGGTCAGGGAGTGTGTCACGTGACATGGACGACACTGGACGTGTTTTTTGTCGCTCCGTGTTTTTTGACCATTTCTTCCGGATTTAAGTTGGAATTCTTTAATTCTTTAATTTCGGAAGTCTTGTGTGAGTTTGTGAGTTTGTGAATGTTAGTTTTTGGGATTTACCAGCAAAACAACATTGTAAAAAAGTTTGATTTCTTGTACATATGTTTATTGATTTCTTCTGTGATATCATCTCACCTGTTTACCTGTACATTTCACCTGGCGATGGCAGAGAGTGATTTCGATTCGGTTGACAGAACATCAAAGCCGTTATACTTAAAGAACAATGATCTACGGGGTTCCTTAAAGAAACAGATCACTGACTTTGATCTTATTGACCCAATAAAAAAAAGTAATCGGTGATGAGATACTTTGCGTGCAACTCGACCGCAATCTGTGGAGAATCTATCTCAAAAGCACAGAATGTCGACATAAGCTCCTAACCCAGGGTATTGACATCAATAGCGTAGCATACCAGTTCTATGACACTAACCCATACACCTCAGGAGCTACATCCGTTTCTCAAAAAACCCTAAAACTGAGGATATGTGGTCTCCCTCTCTCTGTGGCAGATTCCGCGGTACAGGAATTACTTAACAAACTCGATGTCAAATTAACAAGTAAAATTCTGTACGAAAAAATCCGCCATCCAGAGACAAACCGGATGACAAGTATCCTAAATGGAACAAGGTTCATGTATATTGAGCCTCTTCCAGACGGAAAATATCTTCCGAGAATTAACTACTGCGGTGGTATCCAGTGTAAGCTGTTTCACTATGGTCAACCCAAAAAGGACATTCACCTTTTATGTACTAACTGCTGGAAAACCGACCATACCCGCTCTAACTGTTCCTTCGAAACCTGTTGTAAGGTATGCAAACAACCTGGTCATTCCCCCGGGAATGAAGCATGCCCTCATTATCAGCCACAAAAGCATTTGACCCCTTTCAGTGGTGCAGAGGATGTTTTATCCAACTTTTACCCATGCGTTTTGGATATCTTCGGAATTAAACACAAATCGGCCGAGCATGCCTTTCAGTATATAAAGGCAGTAAGATGCGGTGACCTAGATTCTGCCAATATCATCAAAGATGCCGATGACGCCCTTTCCGCTCTACGCATAGGAAAAAAAATAAAACCAAACGAGCAGTGGGTTTCTACCAAGGAGGCTGTTATGGAGGAGATTTTGGAAAACAAATGTGTCCAGGTCCCTGTTTTCCGCGATAAATTGTGCACTTCCAAGCAGTCGACAGTATTCGTTGAAACAACATACAACAACGAATGGGGCTCAGGGCTTGACCGGGATGGTACATGCAACACCAAACCCGAACAATGGCCAGGAAAGAACATTCTTTGTGTCCTCATGAAAAAAATCGCAAGAAAGGTTCGGAAAAGAAAGCTAAGCGATTCAGCAAAAAACGAAAGAAAACAAAAACAAAAAGATCTTCCGAAACAAAAAACAATACCGCAAATGCTTAATCAGCTGAGAGAAATGTCCGATAGTGATGAACCTGACACGGAGAGTTCCGGTGATGATACGTGTAAGTAACTGTATTATCTCCGATCAGACAGCTGGCGCAGCATTGCATGAACTGTGGTATGTGCTTAGTTATATTTATTTACAGACATTTTTGGCATACTTTAAAAATGCTATATTGAATTGGTATGTTCTATTTTTACTTTTTTAGTAATAAGACGTAAATTAGCCCCCCCCCCCCGTTTCTTTTTCATAGAATTATACATTTATATCCACCAGACAAATGGAAAATTTAAGTTTACTTTCGGTGAATGTAAGAGGTCTTAATTCGCCGGAAAAAAGGGCAAAAATCTTTACATGGTTAGAAGAATGTAAAATAGATATAATACTTTTACAAGAAACTCATTTTGTGGAAAAACATGTAGAACACTATGATAGAAATTGGAATGGGAAAATAATTCATGCTTTTTCAGACTCTCCCTATAGTAGAGGTGTTTCTATTCTTTTTAAAAGAGAATGTAATGTAGATATTTTAAATGTTCATAAGTCTAATGACGGTAGGAAAATTCTTGTTAATGCAAAAATAGACGGTGACTTATTTACAATTATTAACGTTTACGCACCTAACAAAGAGTCAGATAGATTAGCATTCCTATCAACTCTAAACACATATATTTATTCGTTCTCTGCGCAAGATAGTAGAATCATAGTAGGAGGTGATTTCAATTGCAATTTTGATAAAGAAAATGACAAATCCAATAAAAAATTAAGTAAACTGGTAAATAAATTCGACTTAGTCGACGTATGGATTAATAAGAATCCTAATAATAACGGTTACACTTGGTGTGATGCAGAAAATTGTCCAAAGAGTAGGATTGATTATATTTTTGTAAGTAGAGACTTTATAAAACATGTAAAAATATCATTGTCAGACGAATTCCTGGTACTCATAATAATAACACTTGATTAAGTGACCACAGATATCTTAAATGTACTTTAAATCTGAATAAATTAGATAGAGGTGCAGGTTACTGGAAATTGAATGTATCTCACCTTGAGAATGATGATTACAAACAAGGTATAGAGGAATTATTTAACAACATTGATGAAACGCTAGATCCAATTTTAAAATGGGAAACTTTTAAAATAAGTGTACGTGATTACTCTATCAAATACGCGAAACAATCCAAACATAATATAAAATATAAAATAAAACTACTTGAGGAAAAAATCGATAAAATTGAATCTTTGCCTAGTCTAGAAATTAATATGAATGAAAAGCGAAAACTAGAAAAAGAACTAGATGCAATGTATGATAAAATTGCTAAAGGAGCTCAAATAAGATCAAAAGCGCAATGGATAAGTGAGGGAGAGCGAAATACCAGTTTCTTTCTAGGTCTAGAAAAGAAACATCAAACGAATAATACAATAACTGAATTAAAAAAGAATAATAAAACCTTTGCAAGTAATAGTGAAATTTTACAAGAAATGTGTCTTTTTTACGAAAACTTATATACAAGCAAATCTGTTGATGGAAACAATATTTCTTCATATCTACAAGACATTGAATGTCCAAAACTTAGTGATCGCGATAGAAAGTTTTGTGACACATTTCCAACATTTGATGAATGCTCGGATGTGGTATACAATTTAAAAAGTAACAAATCTCCCGGATTAGATGGATTACCAGGGGAATTTTATAAATGTTTTTGGAACAAAATTGGACCTCTCTATTATGATGTGTTGTCAACTGTATTTGAAAAAGACGAATTACCATATTCTCAGCGATTTGCACTTATCACTCTTTTATTTAAAAAGGGAGACAAGAATAACCTTAAAAACTACAGACCATTGAGTTTAACAAATACCGATTACAAGATTATAGCTTTTGTTCTCGCAAAAAAATTACAATGCGTCATAGATAAATTAATTAGCAATGAACAATCAGCATATATCAAAGGTCGTTACATAGGTATAAATGCAAGATTGATTTTAGACATTTATGAATACTGCATGGAAAATGAAAAAGACGGAATATTATTATTTTTAGATTTTGAAAAAGCTTTTGATTCGGTTGAGTGGAATTTTCTTTTTCAAGTTTTAAAAAAATTTAACTTCGGTGATAATTTTCTTCAATGGATCCGAATTCTATATAATAAACCAATATTCAGAATTAAAAACAATGGTTGGATTTCTAAAACATGTAGCATGAATAGAGGTATTAGACAAGGATGCCCTATTTCAGCTCTATTGTATCTATTTGTGGCAGAAATACTGGCCTTAAAAATTAAAAATAACAATGAAATACAAGGTATCAATGTTTCAAATATGAAAAGGGATATTAAAAATATTCAGCATGCAGACGATATCACATTGGCTTTAAAAAATATATCTTCGTTGAAGGTTGCAGTTAAGACTGTTAATGATTTTTGTAAACACGCTGGTTCAAAGGTCAATATAAGCAAAACACAATGTATATTATTGGGTAGTCTAAAAGATAAATACACTAACATAGAAGGTATCCAAGTAACAAATGATGCTGTTCGATGTTTAGGTATACACATTGGCCATAATAAAATTCAATGTTATGAATTGAACTGGCTAAAGACTTTTCAAAATATGGAAAAACTCTTTGAA